GAAGAAAAAAAGGAATGTGAAATTCCTATAACCTGTAAGTCATTTCTTCCGGGGGAAAAGATATATTACAAATGTTCCTCTACATGAAAACAAACATATCGATGCAGTAGGTCTCTGAGGAACATCCATCAATATGTGATAAACAGATTATTTATATTACACATTATATACCTCACTTAAGTAATCCAGCAATCTGATTGGTCGAAATTGCATTCATAAACTTTAACTGTTCCCGAAAATTCCCAGTAACCATGGTTAAAAAACAGTTCAAAATCCCAATAACCATGGTTATTGGGAAAATAGGTCAGTCTCCATGGTTACCCCATAGGTTTACATGTTAAAAAATGGTCTGAGCGATCGAGGATACCGTACGTGTGCGAAGAATTGGTCGGTAATTTCAATACAATTGAATCTCGATCGATCTTACCGACAATTTTATCTTGCATTGTTGACATGAAGACGAAAATAAACTTCCAAAAACAAAAAAACATCTGCCGATAGATCTTGATCTAAATTCGTGCCAATATGCATTGCAAAAGTAAAAGAAGGGCCTGTTTAATGGAGCAGCCGCGAAGCATCCACCGCGCGAAGCCGTTTCAATCCATTTTAATGTATATATAAGAAAAAACTGCTATGAATGGTAACAGAGCGCGATAGCCGAGCAGTTTAAGGCGCTCATTTTAGTCACCTCACCTTTTGTACGCAAGAGATCGAATCCCATATTCGAAAAAAGTTTTTTCTTTTTTTCCTTTTTTCTTTTTAAATTTTTTTTTTGGGGCATATAAAAGTATTAATGACTGCTTTAATATTCGAGAAATAGTTGTTTTTCTCAAAGCAGTCATTAATACTATATCATTCAACTCACTTGATGAAGTCTCTCTGTGCATGGTACTATGATGTAATATTATAAACTTTAGTAAATGAAAAGGAACTCTACTTCTTCAAACAGGGAAATCTGAAATTGTCATTAAATGGTGTTTTAAAACAATGATACAAAGAATGGAAAGATTCTATATAAAAAAGAAAGGTGAAAATTAAATGGTATGTACATAAGAAAGAACAAAATGGCAACTGATATTCTTTATAGTAATAAGAAATGTTATTCATATCTGGGAAATGATGTTATGTGCCCTCTTTGTTGGGAACTTAAAGAGCTAGTATAAAGGATGTATTACAACAACAAAAAAGTCCAAATTGCATGAAAGTATGAGTTATAAGCATACCCCTCCCATATTGATACATACTAAATGAAGAAAATATCAAATGGCTAGATACCAACCTGACATGAAATACAAGGTATAATTAGAGACAGGACAGGTGAGATAATTAGATGGAAGAAGAACAGCAACAGGATGCTAGTATTCCATGACAGACGGAGAGAGAAATAGGACAGACGGAGAGAAGATGGAAATGACAGCAAGACGTTCGCAGACTTGGAGAAAGTAAGAAAGGGTCGTATTACCAGAGCCGCAATCTCAAGACCTGTAATTTGATTTGCCTGAAAACTATTGCTCCAATTTCAGGTGATTCCCAAGCAATGTAGATTGATTCAGAGAAACACCTTCTCTCGCCTCTCGGCTTTACATTCACCTGATCCGAACAGAATCCATCTTTCGTTTCGAGTCAAGGGATGGATGAGCATCATTTAGTGACCTATATAGATGATCTAGATCAATTAGTAAATATCTCTCTTCTCTTGTCAGCAGTCTTTTCTCTACTGGATTCACCCCCAAAATATCAATCAAACCTGATCACACCAAATACAATCAATGGAATCTTTATTCTACTAAAGAAACTCTATTTCAAGATAAATGCAGGAATTAAATCAATAGAATTGATAAAAAAACAAACAAACAAAGAAACCAAGAATAATACAAATTAAACAAATTTATCATAAGACCTCATATATATATATATTTCCTTATCATGATGCCTCATGTATCTAATGATTTTCCTACTTAAGCTAGCCCTAAAATTTGGGTCATTTGTATTCTGAATTACATAGCTCATAGAGTGAATCTTACAAAGATGTCTAAAAAGTATCACATACTATTCAAAATAATAGGATGATAGTAATTTCAACAGCTATCTATTCATTACATCAGATAACTGGAAAATTCCATCATCATCATCATTCAATCTGAAAATCATCCTCAAAATATGATCATCTGATTACAGAGAGAGGTTTCAAACCTACTGCATGTAGCAACCACCTGTATAGAAAGATCAACCTGTTTAGAAGGACCAGATCACTGTTGCCTTTGAACAAGGTTTCTCATTGAAAACTCTCCTACAACTGGAACAAAAAGACTGCCAGCCAATGAAGACTACCTCATTTGTCTACCTTGAGCAGTCTTTACTTGTAGATTTGACTGTATACAACCATGGACCGTAGTAGGTCCATAATACAACCATGGACCGTAGTAGGTCCATAATACAACCATGGACCGTAGTAGGTCCATAATACAACCATGGACCGTAGTAGGTCCATAATACAACCATGGACCGTAGTAGGTCCATAATACAACCATGGACCGTAGTAGGTCCATAATACAACCATGGACCGTAGTAGGTCCATAATACAACCATGGACCGTAGTAGGTCCATAATACAACCATGGACCGTAGTAGGTCCATAATACAACCATGGACCGTAGTAGGTCCATAATACAACCATGGACCGTAGTAGGTCCATAATACAACCATGGACCGTAGTAGGTCCATAATACAACCATGGACCGTAGTAGGTCCATAATACAACCATGGACCGTAGTAGGTCCATAATACAACCATGGACCGTAGTAGGTCCATAATACAACCATGGACCGTAGTAGGTCCATAATACAACCATGGACCGTAGTAGGTCCATAATACAACCATGGACCGTAGTAGGTCCATAATACAACCATGGACCGTAGTAGGTCCATAATACAACCATGGACCGTAGTAGGTCCATAATACAACCATGGACCGTAGTAGGTCCATAATACAACCATGGACCGTAGTAGGTCCATAATACAACCATGGACCGTAGTAGGTCCATAATACAACCATGGACCGTAGTAGGTCCATAATACAACCATGGACCGTAGTAGGTCCATAATACAACCATGGACCGTAGTAGGTCCATAATACAACCATGGACCGTAGTAGGTCCATAATACAACCATGGACCGTAGTAGGTCCATAATACAACCATGGACCGTAGTAGGTCCATAATACAACCATGGACCGTAGTAGGTCCATAATACAACCATGGACCGTAGTAGGTCCATAATACAACCATGGACCGTAGTAGGTCCATAATACAACCATGGACCGTAGTAGGTCCATAATACAACCATGGACCGTAGTAGGTCCATAATACAACCATGGACCGTAGTAGGTCCATAATACAACCATGGACCGTAGTAGGTCCATAATACAACCATGGACCGTAGTAGGTCCATAATACAACCATGGACCGTACTAGGTCCATAATACAACCATGGACCATAGTAGGTCCATAATACAACCATGTCTCAATGGATGCTACATCAGCAACAATCAAATCTGCAATCTAAAAACGTTGGCATGCAAGCAAGGTTTGCAGCTAGCTAGCCAGCCAGCCAGCCAGCCAGCCCATGGCTTACATGAATGAAGCAGACATCTTACAATGGCTCACTCAGCCCGCCTGCCCCCTTACATCAATTAAACTAGATTTTAAGACTGACACATGAAGCCAGGCTCCTCATCAAAACAAAGTAAAGCTTCTTCATCTCCATTTTAAACTGTCCATCTTGGGGCCACTTGCCCTACCTACTCCATCCGTTCTATTTCACAAGCATTTGGTGATCAAAACAAAAACAACACAAAGTGTAACGTCATGGTTTATTTAGCGCATTTGTAAGTCAATTAGCTTTCATATCCCAGACACAAAGCCCCATTCCCCAAAGTAGCCTGCTCCATTTCTTTGATATCCAAGTATGATCCTTTAAACCCAATACCACGCCAGTGACGTCTATAGCCTCCCACTAGTGCCTCTCAGTGATGCATACACCCCCTAACACACCGGCAAAGTTATTTCTTTTTCCAACGATGTCGTCATCTATTCGTCTTTCTTTTTATTTCATTCAATAAAAACTGAACTAAAGAAACTCAAATTCAGAGGGATCTACCAAAGACTATTTTCATAGAATGTGTGATCTTTCTAAGTCAATGCCGTCACTGTGGCAAAGACCATCTAACTACAATACAAGGACAAATTTCTTTGCTTTCTTAGTAGACTTTCTACACAGTTTAAAAATGCTGCTGTCACAAACACAGTGTATATCTCAGTCATATCTTCAGAGTTTGTTTTTTTCTTCTGCAAGCAAACTTCCCTATTTATCCAGGATTTTCAACAGACCCTACAGGTATCCTAAAAACAAAAATTATGGCCTGAAGGTGAGATCGAAGCACATCTGTTTAAGAACATCTTTCAATTAAGTCATTGTCACAAAATAAAGAGAGTTGGTCATCAACCTACGGCTACGCTCAATTTTTATTTGCCACCTATAATCCTATGTGTCACATTGCTTTTCTAATTGCTTACGCAGTATTTTGCCATTTCATTCATAATGCTACTACAGTGTACATAAAGATGAAAGTGTTACTTTATGGCCATTTCCAACTGAAGTGGGTCATCAAATGAAGTTTTAACACACAGTGGGCCATGTTGCTGATTTCATTTATATTTTCTTCACTGATCAGTGAATGTTGCGTGGGATTGTGTCTACAGGCAAACCTGGCTCAAGATACATCATATACACACTTGTCTGCTTTAGGAGGACTACAGCAAAACAGGTTATAGGGTAGGAGGCTTCTGAAGACAAAGAAAAACTTAGGATTTATGTGCTAACTCCCTTCAGTTTAAAAACTACATAAAAAATACAGCATTTAGGAGTCAATGGTAGAAACTAAACTTCCCACATGAAGTTGACGTTGTAAGCAGACAACTGTAGATGAAGTAGAGAATTCTGACTAGCCCGTTCTATCTAAGTAAATAAAAGTTGGCTTAGATTTGAATGTTCATGTTTAATTTATAAGCATGTCACACTCAGAGGTACAACATTTTCATACAGAAGTTTGACTTCTGAGAAGAAAACAATTGTATATGACGTAAGAGCAACCTGGCTAGCCCCTGTCCCGTCTGAGCAACATCATTTGACCTAGCTTTTTAAACATTTCCCATTGAAGCATGAATGAACTGTGTGCATGTTAAGGAGGCATAAGTACACACAGGAGAGGAGAGTCCTAAACCATGACTCAGTTTTGACCCATTCAGATGGTTGGTCAAACACTTGTTTCAACCCTAGACTCTAGACCGGTCAACATAGGATGACTCCTTGACTGGCTGGCCCACCTCGACCAGACCACAAGCACCGCCTCTCAAGGACCTTACCCAACAACCTACTTCAAGGGTGATGCATCTCAATGGCTATCTTCTCATCAGCCAAAAATAAACGGAACATAAAGTGTTTACACCATAACCCTACCCTACATTTTACTGAGTGATGTTAACTAACAACCTACTCCAAGGGTGATACATCTCAATGGCTATCTTCTCATTAGCCAAAAATAAACGGAACATAAAATGTTTACACCATAACCCTACCCTACATTTTACTGAGTGATGCATCGCAATGGCTCTGTTCTCATTAGCCAAAAGTAAACTGAACTTAAACTGCTTACATCATAACCCTAGCATACTGTACAATCAACATGTGGATGCATCTCAATGGCCCTGTTCTCATTAGCCAAATCTCAGCTAAGCTTCAAATGTTTACAGCCATCTAACAAATTTGCTGCAAGTTGGTATACTGGATGGCTTGAATGATACCCTATGGTTTAAAGAGGATGTCATCTTATGGGATACTTTAATCCATCACATCGGAGGGACAGAGGATCTTTATGATCTCTCATCTCAGGGCAGATTGTGGAGCTAGAAATTCACGAGTCTGACCTATCAATTACTCGACAACGATTTTCTCTCTCTCTCTCTCTCTCCACCACTTTTTTGTGTTTAAATGACAGCCCTTTCAATTTACAAGATTAGATACCATGAACTTTACTATGCATCCTACGACACTGACCTTTATAATATTAAAATGTACCTGCCACCCCTTCTCCTCTCTCTCTCTCTCTTTCTGTCTTTCTTAATTTCTTCTTATATCTCCTCTTCTGTCTTGACTCAATACTGTCTAGCTCCATCTGTCTTTCAGTCTGCCTCTGTCTCCTGTCTGTCTCCCTTCTCTCTCTCTCTGTCTCTGTCTCTCTGTCTCACTCTCTTGCTCTATCCTTCTGTTACTGTCTATATTTTCTCTCTGTCTGTCTCTCCTCCCTCTCCCTCCCTCCTTCTCTCTTTACCTAAGTGCAAGTATCTGACATCATAGAAGTCTTGAGGACCCTTTGGCTAGGCCTGTAACCTCCCATAAGTGTTGGTGATGCGTCAAATTAGAAATCAACCATGAATCCAGACACTTGATTATACAAGTGCTGGCAATCTACTCCACGCATTTCATGTAAAGTACTGCCCTACTATTTCAAATGCTCAGTGTTTTGCCAATGCTCAATGTTTTGCCAATATAATAACTATAAACATTTAAAAATTAATTGATTATACAAAATTATTACCATTCAATTGTCATTCTTAGTTTAGTAGATATTCTAACATTTGCAATTATAATGCCAGGGGAATTTCTGATTATCGTATTGTATGTGGAAAATCCTCCTATTTTGATTATTTTATATATTTGCTAAAGTGTATCACAAATTATAGCCTGCTATCCTTACTTATTCATTTCTCAAGTTTGAACTAAAGTCAATTTGGCATTCTGAGCTGCCCCAAGAAACGAGAATGACTGATTGATTGCACAGGCCACATGTTATGTCTCTGGTGATTAAGAAGGAATTCCCAACTGTCAAAATGATTCTCTTTCAACTGAATATGAAATGACATATGTAGGTGTGAAAATGGTTCTGTCACTCTGGGAATATGTCTAATTCTCATTGTTAAAACAACAACAAAATCACCTCGTTCAATTTTATACAGTGTTTTGGGTCCACTCTGTAGGATACATCAATTCTTCTGCCCAAAAGTTCTACACCAAAATAAAAGTCTCTTTATATGACCTTTGGCAGATGTGTTTTCTAGTATCACTACATTTAGTCAATGGCAATATCAAGAAATCTTTAAATTTTGATGAAATAAATGGATAAAGACAGAATTGCACATTATCTACTACCAGATATAACAGAGGTTAGTAAATACTGTTAATGTAACTCTTGTAAATCTTGAATCTTGCTGTTCACCTTCACTTATAAACCACCTTCACCTTCCCTTTCAGGCCTTATATCTTCCTACAAGACAATCGTCTGAAGGCAGTAGATTACTTTCTCACTTTACATCTCAAATATGTGTTTACATAAGATCTGTAGCAGTGAAGAAGCATATCAACAAACTATCATTCAATACCACTTCCTGTTCTGACAATCGCAGCAACATATATATATCTATTTCTTTGACACGCAACCTACAGCTAAGCTTGGTATCTTCCCACGCTGATACTGCTGCAAGTGAAACACAGGATTTAGGTCGAGTTCAGGGAAAGAAATAGATCTATTACCATCTTTATCTTCTCACTATACTTACAATGGGAAGAGCATTTCCTTTGAAAGCTATGTCATATAGGATTACTTTGGAAATAGTCTTGTATTTGTGTCATTAGCACTTGAACTTTAGACTTATGTCATGTATCAAGACTGAGTCCCACATGTGCATACCTATGTTTGTGCCTTTGGTGTACTTGAGTTTCAATTTCTTTTAACCTTTTAATGATCAAAACAAATCCACAATGCTTGAGGATTGATGTCCACTCTTTGATCAACAAGTCAAGATGTCTACATTTTCTTTAAAAGCAAAGTTCTATTGATAATACTTGCAGCATAATATTGAAGTCATCATCACCTTGATATGAAACCTAAAGCTTAGCCTGAAACTGATTGAAGAGTTCCTAGTTGGCTGACCCTTAGTGGGTTAATCCTTTCATCGTTCTCTACTTGATTGCTGGAAGATGTTTTTCATCTTGTGATCTGTCTCCTGAAAGACTACCAAGGCCAAGCCTTGCCTCTAAGAACACAGCTTACAATAATATTTCTTGAGAGGTTTCCTCTGTCCTTCATAAAACAGTGAAAGTGAGAGCATCCTTGTCCTACCCTGAGGAATGCTACTTCATTTCAGGATAAGACTTTGTGACGAAATAGCAAAAGATAAACAGGAAAAGAAAGAGATGTACACAAACAAAACAAAAAGAAAAGAAGACATAAGAAAAATTAGACAAAACACACTACCTAAGATACGAATATTCCTTCATGCTCAATTTTTGACACTAAAATCAGTTTTGTTTGATTAGAGATGGCTTTAAGCGGAAAGATGGCACATTAGCATTAAAGATAAACTTGAGTTCTGGTAAAAAAAGAAAATGAATTCTCACAGAATCTAACGAAACTTACACTGAATGTTCAAGATTACAAATAAGTGTCATGTCAATTTTGGAAGAAAATGTATACTGGCTGAGTAATGAGCATAGAAAGATAAGGAAATCAGGGTAGTACTATAGCCCTGACACCATGTGTGTTGTCCCATAATACATCTTTCTGTGTAAGTGATTGTTACTTTACCAAGACTCTGCCAAATTTATGATGATTTTGATGACTCGAGAACCTTGCATTACACACCATTACTTACATGCTATATGATCAACTTTTCTGATCCATTCCACACCTTTTCTTTCACAATGCAATCGCATTACCAAAACTCAAGTTTATCTTTAAATGTATCCCTTTTGGCAACATTTTCCCTTGGAGCTACATGATACATTAAAACATATCTCCTCAAGCAGACAATCAATTCTCTACTAATTAATCCTTGCTGCTTGTAAGTATCGGCTTGCATGGTGATGTAGATAGACAGTAGGCTTGCGGATGCACCATGCTTGCGGATGCACCTCAAGAAAGATTACCAATAGTCCTTTTCAGGACTCCTCAATCCTCCCTCTCTCTCACATGGTGTATCTGCAAGCCTACTGTATAATTAATCCTTCTAGCGCCACAATGGCTATGTTGAACCTACCTTGCTTGTAGGTCCTTGATGAGTTTCTTGGCTTTATGGTATTTCTTCTCGAGACCGGCGTGCTGTTCCTTGGAATCGTTGAGGGCATTTTTCATGCTGTCTATTTGGGTTTGTATCTTCTCCAAACCCTTCTCTAGGATAGCCATCCGACGATCCTGGGCTTCTATATGGTTCTTCAAACGCTTCTCCTCTGTCTCCCAGCCTTGGGCTTGCAGAGCCTATGATCAAACACACAGATACACTTAGACCCGTCTATAAAGGCCATGTCTATATAGGCTATCCAAGGGAGGGAAAACAGGGGGCTACTATCTGTACACAGGTGGACTTTATAGACAGGTTCTACAACATATTTATGACTCACAGAAGATAATGCAGGTGATCACTATGCACAGGCGGCCTTCAAAGTGAGGTGGTCACTAAGAAAGGTTTGACTGTATAATGTAAACCATTACTTTTATGTTTTTCCCCTTCTTAATTTTACTAGTAAAATAGAATATAAAACTTTTCACTTGTACGATAAGGCCTACAAAAAAAAGATGGTGTATTGCCCTTTGTGACAGACCCCAAAATCTTGAAATCTACGGACTGCTTTTTTTTTTTATACTGATTTTTAGAAAAAAATATATTAAAGCATTCACAAGTGAGAAATATCAGCCCAAAGAGGGAGTAAAAAAAAGGGGAAAAAAGAAGATTTCCAACCGACTGACCCATGATTTGGCACCTAAAGGGCAATACAACATCTTTTTTTTAAAGGTAGGAAAATCTACCAATTCATTCTAAGTGTTGGTCATTCAAGGCAAAATGAAGAACTACAGTTTTCACCCTCTACTTGCAATTCATATCTGCATAAAAAGGTTTTTTTCACTTAAAAATTTGTTTTCTTAAAGGTCATTACATCTTGCATGAACAACGTTTATTAGTAAGTGATGATTTCTAGAAATTGATTAGTTCACTCACATCACCTGTCCATCTCTGCAAGCAGATGTACAACAGGTGAACACTACACAATAAAGTACGATAACATACGATTGCTTCTTCCACATAGTTTCAAATTGATACACATCTAGCTGAATCATAGGCATATTCCTAAACTCATCTCTCCTGGTTCAGTTTATCATGAACTCAAAGATTTCAGGAGTGCTCCATCAGGTTGATATGATGGATCTTTAATCAAATATTCATGATCTATAACTGTCAGGCTTTCATGGAGAAACTGGTAACTTTGGCAACACATGGTAAGATATTTTAATTACTTTCAAATGTTTCAATAGAACAGTTGCATTCTATATCCTTGCTTGAACTTACACCTTTCATAGCTTTCACTGTAATATGGGTATCCTTGTACAATTTATAATGATTATATTCATCATTTAACCTAGGGTTAAGCCATTGACGGCAGGAACAGGGTGGTTCTGTATAAAACCTTCTTTGAAGAAGGCAACCTACGGTATACCTAAACCTGTAGTGAACACATTGCCTATGGGACAACCTGATGGCTTCTGTATAAAGCCTATAGGAATGAGAGACTTCAGGGGGGCGTTTCACAAAACTTGTCATCAGTGACAAATGACAGATTTTGTTATAAACCACTGAAATCCTTGCTTCTGATTGGTTATCAGCAGATTTGTCACTGATTTTTGTCATTTGTCATTGAAAAAAGGCTTTGTGAAACAGGTCCATGTTGTTATCAGGTTAAGAAGGGAACCTACCTGAATCTTAAGGTTGGGTATCTCTGCCTCAGCCATGGCAAGCTTGTACTGTGTCTCCTTGAGTTTGATCCTAAGGTTAGCATAGTCTTCAGCTGTCGCCTCTGATGGTGAGACCACTGAGCTTCCACCACCGCTGCTTAGGGTATCATCTAGATCATAGGTACCCTGGATCAGCTGATTATCATCAGGGGATTCCCCGGGCATCTCTACTGATGGGGTATCCTCATCAGGGGAAGGCTGGTGGTGGGAGGAAAACAAGGATATGATAAACAGGCCTGGGAGAAATATTCAGATTTTAAATTATTGGCCTGGGACTAATATTTAAATAGTCCTATGATGGGAATGGGACTAATATCCAAATATTCAAATTAGTAGAATAATTAGCCATCTATCTACCAGTACTCAAATACCATTGTTAACCCCATTTGAAAATTAGTCTATTCACTAATAGTGACTGGGATCTTTGAATAGCTATACACTGTGAAAAAAGTCATATTGGCTAAACAAAGACAATAATGTAATCTATAATTCATATTTATGAATAATTAGATATCTGAAACATTCAAATACATTTTTAATCAAATTTCAAATACTGACAATGTAATTATCCTAAGTTCTTAAACTAGTCATGTCCACAAGCCAACAATTGTCCTGACTGTGTAGATAAAAGTCTATAATTCCTGGTCTGTGTGGATGCATCATTCAACTTGATCATGTCATCAAAAAGGTCATCAGTAAAATTCTTGTAACTTTGCTCCACTTGGACTTAAAACAGTGCATGACAAAAACAACCACTGAATGGCTCTATATCCTGTTGAATAATAATACGTTTTACGATAGAAGTGATCGATGCTTTGATTATATGACCTTTTAGGAATGATCCAATTTGGTTGGTTGTTGAATAATCTAAGTCCTAAAAGAAAAGATGCAAGTTGCATCGCCGTTGCTTGTTTGACTTAGAAAAAGGTCTCAAGTCCCGTACAGCATTACGATCTAAATGTGAAAATCAATTCCCAACTCCTCCCCCCCCCCAAAAAAAACAACAACAACAAACAAGGGTGGAAACTATGTAGGCAATGCATGACTTCAACATTTTTTCTTCTGTTGACATGAATATAGAAGGAAAAAAAATGTTGTTGATTGACGACAGCACTAACATAGAGCGGAAAGACATAAGGAAATGACACACAAGGGTCCATGAAATATGGGGACAAATTCTAAGAAAAAGACGCAAAAGGGAAAAGACAAGACGAAAACAATCAATTAGCTGAAAGAAAATAACAAGTAGCAGTAAGAAGTGAGAAGACCTAATAAATGAGATGACAGGTATCAGAATACATGATCAGTATCAAGTTACACGTTTGGATTCTTAACTCATGCACAAAAAACTCAGAATTCCTCTTTTGTCTTTTCAACGACATGGCTTATCCAAATCAGTTTCCAAGTCATTTCATTGAAATTCTATTCCAGTTTCTTCAATTTCAGAAGCTATACATTAAATTAAAAATAAAAACCAAATATATCTAATTTAGATAAGTCAGCCAACTTTTAAGAGCTGTATAAATAAATTTAAAGCCCATCTGTACTGGTTTACAGGAGTGATTAGACCACCCTGCAAGGTCACCGACAGGTGGCTATCTCATCAAATCAGCTCTCACTTAACATAAGAAAAAGAGGATCATGGGGGACCAATGGTCACCAATTAGGCATTGTTTGCTATATAGAGGGCGCAAGTAGCTATAAATAGTGCAGTAGGGCTTGAAATCTTTGATTTATTTAAAATTTGAGATTTGTTTCTAAAAGAAATTCCTACCACTGGATGTCTATTAGCTGGTGGAGGAGGAGCGGGATGAGATGGAGGAGCACTGATACGATCCCGATTGAGAGATTGATTGATAAGAGCTGCTACCTCACTGTTTTCACTATCCTTCTCACGGCCAATCAGAAACCTGCATGGAATGATATAAAACATTGATAAACATCAGTCATTTCTTATTACTCTCTATAGTTTACACTCAAAGACCATACTGAATAACAATAGGAGAGATTTCATTAAGATAGAAAACAAAATAAAACAAAATCAAAAAGGACTTTGTTTGCTTCAGTCAATTTTAGACATACCGGTAAAGTATACTCACCAATAAACTGTAAATATAATCAAATGCCAGTACAAATATGAGCCCTACACATCTAAATATATTTATGAACTAGTCAAATATAGTCCCGAAAACCCCTTGTGACTCATCTGAATGAATGGAGGTGATTTAAAGGAATTATCAATCACAATGCTAGGTGACTGGTATATTCTATCTTCAAGAATTATACTGTATGAATCATCAAAGTATGATAACTATTGTTATAAACTATACAAAAGAGTATATATCAAACTAGTATGACCTCATAATATCCCTTCTAAAGGATGGGTCATGGATGCACAGCTTAAAATGAGTTCTTTTCATACAACGCTCAGAATCCCAGCTGATCTGATCGAGAGCTACAAGGGAGTTCACTAGTATTCTCTTCCAAAAGTGATATTACCCCTTTCTGGCCCTTACAGATAACATATCTAATCTTCTTTTTCTTTTTCTTTTTTTTTTTTTTGGGGGGGGGGGGGGGGCTCATTCCTGTCTTAAGAGGGCAGCATGCCACTAGAACCAAGGATGAAGTAAACAAAAAAGAAGTAGTTCAAGGGATCTATCAAATTTGTTTTTTGCTCCCCAGACAGGGCAAGGCTGACAGAGCAAATCTGATAATTGGTATTTTCGTCAGTAAATATGTATATTTATCGGTTATAAAATCTTCCACCTACGCAGTTTGCATGGAATGGGCAAGGTTCTTAAGAAGTAAAGATACAAAGCCCCTAGACACATTAGAGTACAAAGACTCATTTGGATCTGAGTGAGGTTAAGATGAAGGATTCTACCAGTGGGTGGACCCCCGTTACTCAATACAACATCAAAAGATTCCAAGCACATTAAAGAGTCTACACAAAACACCCACATTGAAGGCTAATAATCTTTGAGGAGCTAGTCGCTCTCTTTTCACCGTTGCTTTAAAGGACCAATAACAAGGATTAAAAAGATCAGATGCCTTGACTCCAGATGGTTTCCATGGTAACGGGTAGCTGAATGATGCCTTGTAAGATGGAGGAGAAATAAGAGCGTCTGAAGGGAAAATAGGACAAGCCGTATCGATGGAGGAATGAAAAGAGTTCCTTTCAACGAGAAACAGTGAGAGGGATATTGAGCAAATGACAAAGAGGGAGGCAGGCAGGCATCGGAGGCAAAGATCCTTCCAAACAAAAACCAAAGTGCACGAGGGAAAGGTAGGCGTGTCTTCCTGTTGCTAGGAGCAAAGAAGGTCTTTTTTCTCTCTTTGAGGTTACAAGGATGTGAGGGGGCTGCCATGTTTATTAAAGAGAGAAAATGTTCAGTTAAAGCTGATAAAAGGGACAAATTTCAAAGGGACTTTTCATCTCGATTGCTACTGTATATGAAGGTCTTTTCAGCATGCCCTATATTCTGATATCAAGCACTAAAGAGCTATCATTAAGCACCAAGGGAGGGAATCAAAGTGGCAAGCTAACAGCCATTTCTTTTCATTTCATCATATTTATTTCTTCTTGATATACTTCCTCTTTAAGTGGGTGGTTTATTGCTTTATTATATGTACTTACCCTGCTAGAGGTAATAAGGAGTGACAACAACAAAATGATGGTATAGATATTTTTATTTGGTCTCATCATCTATTTAAATTATTGGATACACTTCTATTTCAAATTTGCTTTAAAGGTACTATGTCCTATTTGCTGATGAAGACATACCTAATGATTCATAATATCATCTGTTTGGAGCCAGAAGGGTGTTAACTCATATGCTTTAACATGGAGTTAATGCCCTTCTGGCTCTGATCAGACGTGTCTTCTTATACTCCCTATATTTCTCTGTTTTATTTAAAATCTTTATCATCCCACTGATAAATCTATCCGTCTGCATGCTTTTTATCTACCTACCCTTCACATACCTATCTATATGTCAATCTATACATATCTATTCTTCATCTGGCTCACAATTAATATCTTCATATTCCTCCCCATTTGAGTGCCTCTGATTCCATCGCTCAAACTCTAATAATCTTGTCTATTTCTATGCCTTAAATCTCTCATATTAAGGTTAATGCTACCCCAGATGATCATGTGATATAATAACGTCCGGTATCGTCCGCATATTACTAATTAATGAGTAGCTTATGGGGATTAATACCGTCCAGTCATTTGAAATCACCCCCACACAATATGATCATTATATCGACAATGATTATGTGCTCCAGTTTCCGCATCAACATAACTTTTTCACAGGACTTTGCAGCACTGAAGCTGCAGTTATGATGAAGTTATGCAAGTTTACAACGTTTTTTCTTTTATCAAAGAATTAAACCTTTCTTGCTTCTTAAATAGTTAGTACCATATTTCGTCGCTGTTTTCACGAAGTGACGGTAGTGAAAAAAAATTGCATTCACTTTGCGTTACGATTTTCCTCACTACTGTCACTTCGTGAAAACAAGGACGATTTAGTGATTTACAATTTCTTTTTGTCTATTCTATGTATTACAAAATACACGTGTACAAAATAAAATCATAACAAAACAGAAAAAGAGAAATACAAGAATGCTTTTCAGTATGCATATTAAACAACTAAAAAAGAAGGATCATATTTTAGATATTCTAAAAATGAAATAGCTTGTAATTTAAAACAGATACCCCAAAATATCAGTAGAGAGGGCACCAGGACGAAAAGAGATTGTTTAGAACGATGGAGAGGGAATAACAGGGATACCAGTTGATTTCTCCAGATGAGCCTGTAAAGAGACCCAGACATGTTGGAGCCTTGTATGTTATGTATAATATGAAGCATGATAAAGCCTGATATGGAAAGGTGTCAGGGCCTGAAATCAGGCTATAGCCTGAATACTGGCATCCCTGGGACATAATTATAGCGCATAGTGGTGTAGCAATGAAATCTCAAAATGCTTTACAACAACATTAATACATGTGAATGTTTTATAATATTTTATACAGACAATCACATTTTATCAAACTTAAGATTTATTAAAAAGCTTAATGGTATGAGACCCTAGAATGCAGGAGCTAATGCCACAAAGGACCATTTTTCATTTACAAGCATAAGGATATAGGAGGGACTGACTAGAGAAGCTTGTTTTAATAGAGTTGCATATATTCCTTTCTTATAGATGATTTCAACATATCTGTAGTATACCACTTCATTTATCAAGAATTTGCCACTGGTAAACATTTCGAATCAATTTCAAACACTGTTGAAAATTCTATAGTTACAGATAACAATTTCTCGTTCTCACCATTGATTGCGTTTAAAATAAAATATAATTAAATTGTCTACAATAGCTATAAAACATAATTTTCTCTATCATTACTTCATTAGAATTATATTCAATGTCATATGTACAGGGAATAGGGGAAAATAGTCATGAAGCAGTTTGTAATATTTAAAATATGGGTAATTCAAAAAATATAAAACATTGAACAAGATTTGTAAATGCTTGAAAAGTAAGTTTGGACCCTTTTTAAAATTAGGAAACAACCTGTATATTCTTAATTATGACATTCTCTTCCCAAAAATACATGTTTCCAACGATCCTCAAAACATTTCCCAAACAGCCATTTTTTAACCAATTGACAACGGACTATATCACTCAAAACCTAATTCAATGCTAACGACCCATTTCCAATGGTTGCATGACGGAACCCCCTGTGTCTGGTAAGCAGAGAGTGCTATTCTATCTACTATTAACCCAGCTAATTTGATTTCCCTGTATTAGGTTACACACCTGAGAGGCTGATAACCAAACTAAAAAACAAATCATCTCGTCCACCTATATACCACACCCAACAGGCATGACTTCAACTTACCCCCATCCATCCATCCATTCAATGTCTCCTGATAGACACAAGGTAATTACACCTCTTTTATCTTGACATGGAGTTAAATACCCTTCTGGCTCTCAACAGACAATAATTAGGACCTTTTCCTCGGTATCTAGATCTCCCAATCTTATTTCTTTCGGACAATTAGTGAGCTTTAATATGTGACCCATACCTGTTTTGCTCTTATTTATTTCATAACCAGTATACCTTTGAGAACATTTCAGCATATTGCAAAACAGAACAAAAACTTGCACAAACTGCAGAATTTAATGTAATTCTTGTATTTCCTCGCATGAAATTCTCACAAATCTAGACCCTCTTGAAATTCTTAAACTCTCTTGAGAGCAAAAGTTTCTGGTTTTCACAACTGAAAGCTGTTTGAAAGTATAATATTCATACACCACACCACACGCAAACCATTGTAGCACAGATCTACTGCCATAAATATTGTTTGTTAGATACCAGTAGAGAATAAAAAGCTGTTCTAATTGGACGGTAACTTTTGACTATGGAGCTGGTATATCCATGATTTACATTGACAGTATAAATCATCTGTTAGCTAGGAGCCAGAAGGGCATAAACTCATCCAGTTTCACTTTTTTTTAGAGGGATTAACACCCTTCTGGCCCTCAAGAGATGAAATGTTAGTTTTACATGTTGCAATATCTAAGCTGCATTTGGATCCACAACATCCTTTGTTTGATACCAAGGTTCATCTCCAAACTTGTTTATCAACAATGATACCATTGTCATCACACCCCGCATGCTGTTCATTAATAAATAGAAACAATATGACTTACGGATAGACTGGAGACGACGACATAACTGTGAACTTGTCAAGTTTAAAGTAATATTCCCAGCAGCCATTCAAGAATCGGAACCAGATTCGACATGACATGAGAATGATTAACGTTTGTGGTATCCCGCCACCCCTTCCTCCAGACATACACTACAATGACAGGTGCATCTATGCAAATAAGATAGCCCTGGTAGAGAGGGTACATCACATCACTGTCATACCAGGCCTGTATCCATTGGACAGTCAATCAGGCCTTTCATACTAAAGGAAATCTATACAACATTTCTATTTCTATTACTCAACAGTGTAAAAATAACCCTTGTATCTGCATACAAAGCATGAGAAGCAAGGGCTACAGCCAAGACATTAGTTCCTTATGAGAAGAAGAAAAAGTTTCTGTAAAGAGAAATTAAGAATTCCTTCCAATGAGAACAACCCCATTAGCTATTCCATTAACTTTTTCACACTATCATAAAAATAATACAGTCTTAATCACCTATCCTAAAGAGTACCCCCATTAAGAATCATCAATGGTGATGAACTAATCTACTATCTCACCTCTTATCTTATTTCTTACTTCAACTGACAGACGCGGAGGTGAATGCTTCCAAATAAGACTTTTGACTGACACATTTCTTCATATACATTTAAAGCAATGGGTGGGTCTGATCATTGACAATGATTCCTTATGCCAAAGATGTGCATGCTTCTACAACTTTGTTCCTGAGACAGGTTCCACTGAGTTATTAGTAAAACTGTCAAATATTTCAATGACAATCATAACTGGGAACATATTAACAGACTTCCTCATAATTCAGATCTGTTTAACCATGTTTATTTCCTTGCTTGATAAAAAGTAGGTGATATTTAAAAGTTTTCTTTTGGGGTTTTGAGGACTAGAAACTGTGACACAAAGTAATCTTTAGTGTCAGGAAGATAACTTTGAAAGAGTCATTTTGGGTTCTAATTTTCAGCCAATAATACTAATCTGGAAATATCACAAATAAAATTGTCCAACTATGGTGTTAGTTTCTCATAATGACATGAGATCTCCTTCCCTTTGATATGGTTATGTCTTCATTAGATTTAAATGACAAAACATCTCTGAGGAATGGAGATGATTTCTGCAATGAAACTCACTTAAGGTCAGAAACAATCCTAACTGGATGGAAGTCTTCAATGATACCTCCTGAGTATTAGCTGTCTCCTGACCTTTCTCTATTCTCTCAAATCTCATATTTTCATAGAGCAAGAAAATGAGAAAAGACATATTCTTGTGAAACAGGAGCTAAAACATCTGGGGCTGTTCTAAAGAATGGCGGACATTCAGACGTATCATGACATACGATAGTCTGAAGCTACAAGGGCTATGAAAAGCAATGTTAGTTAATTCCTTGGCTCTCGATCAGCAGGAAATATATCCTTAACACTCCCTTTGTAATCATGCTTTATATTTACTTACAGCCAAACATATTCGACTTGTTTCTTCCAGTCTACTAAAAAAGAATTTTCAAGAAGTTTTTCTCAGCATCACCATTCTACAAAACTTTTCATTTTGTTTTCTTCACCTTATTACTATGTCTCATTTCATTGGCATTATCATCATTTTCAACAGTTTTCTTCTGTTCAAATTCTTCTCATTTGCTTTCTCGTTCAACTAACTTCTAATTCTCCTCACAATCATTTTCAATATTCCAATTCATCTGTTCTTGCATTCACCTTTCTTCCTTGCCACACCACCCTCAAAACAGATTTGTTATGCATGCATACATCTAAAAAAAAGTCATGAATAAGTCATGCAGGAATGTTATGACATGAAAAAAAAACAGAAAAACAGTGATAACCAGACGATCGAGACTTGACATTTTGCCGATCATATTGATAAAAGGAAACCAGAAGGCCATCAGGTTTGAAATGCCAATTACTTTCCAACGTGTTTAGCTTAAATTAAAGAATATTGATATGACGTGACAACATGCTTCTACGAATCTCACCGTGTATTGCATGGATATTTTGTTTGTGTCTGTTTAAAGTACAATTCTGGAATACTCTATACTGCTTTGCATGTATGCAATGTATTTTCACTGATCGTGTTTGCACAAAATGGGAAATAAAGACATGTCACCCATGCTTTAACTAATTAACTTATTATTAAATGCAAGAAATGATGTGGGGTGAAAAATCATGAAAAACAAATAAAGTAACAATATTTTCAATTGTTGATGCTTAATATCTCATACATTTGGTCATTTTGAGTATCCCCTTCCAAACATTGACCATTGAGTAAGCTAGGTGTATACCCTACACCAACCTGTATAACACAAGATGACCAACACACTAAACAATTAGCATATCTTAGTGAGATCGAGATCGAAAGAGAAAGAGAGAGAGATTGTGTTTACCGTTTACTGGTAAAGGTGGATCTGTAGATGACTTCTGCCATTCTTACGTTGCAGGTTTCTCTAAATCGATACCAGTTTATTCACTGCTGAACCAAGCAACAAATCACAGGTATAAAACTCCCTCCAGATAACTAACGATCCAGATCACGTGTCTTGCTATTGGGTTTGAAATCTCACATTGACGTATCCATGCAATGAATTCCAGGTATCCACCAGAAGGTTGCCATACGATCTACCAAAATGGATTCAATTGGTTTGGTAGAAAGCCAGTGAGCTAGCAATGATAACTTCTATTGTCTAGAAATGCTTGCAAGACAAGCCTTAGTTTTCACCATCCTAAGGAGTGAGCTCATTAATTGGCTTTTTTGTCAGAGTACTGCTAGACTTTGCTTGTTGATTCTGAGGTTTCTTATTGAGGAAATGATGAGAAGCAGCCAAAGTCAACACTCCAGGTCCAGGTCCATTGAGTAATAGAAGTGTAGATTGATAAAGTCTTTTCTCCCTTACAAAATGATACTTGATACCACTACTCAACATCCATAGACAAGCTAGAACTAGCTTCCTGATGTAGAATATGATAAAATGCTTAAAATTCGTTGATATCAAATCTAATAGAAAGCAACAATGCAGTTGACAGCACTTTTAATGTGGACTAGATGAAATGTAATAAATGTCTGATCCTAAATCTGATATAGCTGGTGAAAGCAAGCTCTAATCCATATTCTGCAGCAACTTTGTACGGATGTCGAAGCTCATTCAGACATTCTGTATTCCTGCTACAACGTCAAGAGACCGATGGCTTTAGAATCACAAAATAGCAATGTCCACTAGCTAGGTAGCATGTATACTGCCTGCATCACAGTTGCTTCCAAATCGCAGCCGGTACGTCCCAGCTAGATGAAGTGTCCTATTAGCCGTATATTGATGACATCCAAACTAAGCCAAGTTGGATCAAGCGCTAAAGGTTACCATGTAGCTCTTGACATATAAACACAGGCTGTTCCGCTTTACAAATGGCACTCTCAAAATGGACTCACTCCCGGCCCAAAACAGAGGCGGTTAGTCGATGGTGACTAAACACAGCTATGAATCATTGACTCATGTCTACAAGGGGTGGAGGAACTGGACAAAATAATCTGCTAATTTTCTTCCAACTACCCATAAAGATCATCGCCGTAAATGAACCTGGTCTCTTAGCAGGAAGAACTCAAGTTGAGAAGTCCAAGGAGATAATTAAGTGATGAACAATCTCCTCTTTTGTTGCTACGTGTCTGAGGAAGTTTGACAAACTTGAAGAGCTTTTAGTCTCTCACGATTCCAGCTTGCGTGACAAAACCTACTCCAGAGGAAGTTGAAATGTGATAGATATGAAACCATAAACCATGATGAAACCAAGTCTTAGAAGATAACAAATAAATATTCTTTCTAGGTCTCTGGAGATATTTTATGATTCCATTCAACACTTTCAGAACTCTATATAGTTATTTATTGTATTTTCAAGTACTTTTGAAACAAATATTTCATGGGAAAGTTTTTTCATAACAGTTGAAAGCACAGAAACTATGCTTACAGTGGTTTCGGAACTCTTGAAAGATAATTGTTTTCTGGGTCAAGCATCGTAAATAGAGATTGATTATCCATCTACAAGCTGATCTTTGGTAAAGTATCTAAGATAAAATAAAAGCTACCAGCTAACAAGTTTTTTTAATTTTTCATTCAGATAACTATCAATCATTCAAATTGAAAACTCTGGTATAATCAAAATGCCTTCATTTGGAAATCTTAAATGTAATACAAAGTTTTGGTATGGGGTCATGAATTTGGTTCAATTAATGAACATATTGGAAGCATACGCGATCCTACAATATTCAGTGTTCATTGTCACGGTTGAAATCAAGTCTAAAGTGATGAAATTGTAACTGCTTCACAAGGTCAAGATATTAATTTAGTTTTAAAACAATGTTTCTTGACTAAAATTGACAGATTTGCTATTTCCGTTTGGAAATTATATATCACAACTGCATATTCTGAGATTGTCATGGTCACAGCTACTATTGGATGGCTATATAAGCTATTTGAAATTCATCAAAATTACCTGGAGTACCAGTAAATCTTATATTCATTTTTTTCCTCGAAAACAGAAGTGGGGGCTAATTTTTCTAGTGCTTATAATACATACTCTGGGGGATCTAAATATATATCAACATTTCAAAGAATCGCAATCCGTCCATTAACAAAATTTCCCAAACTTTGTATTAACTTTAATGATGTCCATTTTGTATCTATTTTCCAATGTACATGTTCTACACTAAATAATGTACTCTAAATTGAAAGATAACATAGATTGGAAATAAAATGATCAAAATATACAGAAATTAATCTTTCTGACCTTAAAATGTCACTCATATACATATGGCTGTCAATATTCATCCATGATAATAGTTCCAAAGAAAGAAATAGATCAGGAAATATCAAATCAGATATTTTCAAAGTGGAATTTTGGAGAGTACCAGTTGTTACATTGATATGAAGAGCATATCACAGCCCAGAGCAGATGATATTTTCTGCTCTCATAAGAGAAATATTGACCTGTCAAATGCCATACAGCATTATAGGTCTCTATTTTTGCTTCACATCTTGAAGATCCATCAACAAACAACACTCAAATACCAGATCTACATAATGCCTATTGTACCTCTTTTGTTCACTACTTCACAAGCCTCTGCATTCGAAGAAAACCAAATTAGAGCACACCTTTTCAAACTTTCTTTATTTTAAAAGATAGAACATAGAAAAAGGTTGATCTTAAGAAAAAATGAGAAGGGTAAATATAGTATGCAGAAAGAGGGAGAGATATATATATACAAAGGAATAGAGTGATGAAGAACGTACCACCAAAATAGAAAACACCAAAAACAGATATATATATATATATATATATATATATATATATATATATATATATATATATATATATGTAGAAAAAGGAGGAAAGAAACAAGGATATGATTTGAAACTGGAGAGCCAGAAAGGGTTTCATCCATTAACAAACAGTCCTAATTCCGCCTATCAGCAGATGATATAGCAGGATGTGGTCCTGATATTGAAGAAAAAAGAGTTGTTATAAAACTGAGATGTCGGAACATTATTAGAATTTTAATGATTTTTGTTGGTCTTTATAGTGAATTTAAAGTTTTTCAATTTGACCTTTTTCACAAACTCCCGTTGAAAGATTATCCGTAATGGCCACTCTCTAGCTCTCTCCTCCATATATCCTATCCCCTGAAGCCAAACTTTCACTCGAGTGATTGTACGAAATATGACACGCTTATCAGATTTGAGCAGAAAATAAATATATTTGGGTTCTACGTCGAGCTGTCATAAGCATGACATCTAAATCAACAACACTGAAAGCCTTACCTTAAAAATGAGCTATACATATGACGCAAATTAAACAACATATCCGGTTTCCTACGGTGAACTGCTAAAGTATTGGTGCACACAGAAGATAAATCTTGCAGAACATAGATAAATGGTAGGTGTGGGAAGTGGGTAAAGAGGAACTTGAAAAATGTTTTTGCCAAGAAATGTTCAATAGAATAAACTAATCAATCAAAATAAGAACATAAACTTGGTATTCACTTTACTAATTAACTTATAAAATATCCTATCTGCAGTCAATCCACACAGAAAAATATACAATAATTACTTACCCCTGCCCTGTTTTCTGCTTGAAACAATATTGAACAGTAATGCTAATTAGTTACAATGCAACCTTTTATTTCACAAGCAAAGTATAAGCAAGTTTCTTGATTTAAAAGGCATTTTAAAGCAAATTTGAGCTTGTGTTCAAAACTCATATAGACATTGTCACAAAGACTGTAACAAAATGAGCTTAAAGACAATTTCAATACCTCCATTGTATTGCCAATAGAAATCGGACAACGTGCATGTAATATATGATTGCACAGGTCAATCTGTGATGCGCAACGCTATTGAAATTGCCTCGGTTGATTTCTTGAAAGTCTTTCCTATCGTGTTGTATGTGTGTATCCATAATTTGAAATTGATGAATTCAATTATTTTACCCTTTTAACTTTCATCAGAGGAGGCACGATAGCTCAGTGGGTAGAGCAGTTAATCATTCATCCTTATTACCAGGTCCCCTCGGAGAGGACCTAAATCCATCAGTCCTCTGGTTGCTAACCAACAAGCATTTATGCTTTCTTAGCAGTCAGGTAAAATAACCACTACTACTACTACTGTACGATCCCTTTAAAACTTGCTGATAAACAAGATGCACCAAGGTAGACAAAACAGCAATCAACGCTATTTCTGGAAATGCCAAATGATGCTATCTAATTCTGCCAAACCTATCATTACAAGAAAGTGTTTTGGGATACAATCATGTTTTCACTGGGGTGTTGCGAAATTGCAACGTAAATGAAGAATAAATTTTGGTTACTTTTAAGTAAGGAAAACTTAAAGTGGGAGCTACATTTACATCTACAAGTTTCCAGGGAACACCAAGAGCTTGTTTTTGTTATCGAAACTTTTGTCTCTTTCAATACATTTTCACATCTAACACAAACAAAAGTGGAATTTCACCATCCCTATCAATTCATGACATAAAAGAAAAGATCAACATGATGATTAAACCCCTCAGCAAAAAAGCAAGAAATCTGATAGTTTTACTTCAACATTAAATAAAAGTAGGTTCTCTTCTTTCTGGACAGCTTTCAAAGTATTGCAAGACATTTTGAGTGCCCTGTGTAACATAGAAAAACACATTTTGAAGGCATCTTTCTCATATTACTATGCGGAAAACACCTTACACAAGAATGAAAAGACAGGATAAAAGATAAGATAAGAAATAAAGTGCGCCATCTGCCCTACATCTACATGAAACCATCATCAAAGAACAAGTAAAATATATATCAAAACTTTAAACACATACCTTCCACTAAAAATCAGCAGAAATATAATTTAATTTAAAGATTTGTGATCATTTTATCAACTTCTATCAAACTGAAAATGCTACAGAATAAAATATTTATGCCAACAATTTGATTGTGTACAAAATAATGACACTGAATGTACTAAAAAAAAAAAATCACTAAATGAAAAAAGTCAAATACCCCTGAATAATAAGCATTATGCTTGAAACTTGGCAATATTATATTCAACCATTATCAAAACAAATTGTAATTCAAAAAAATATATATCATTCTATCTCTTTGACATGCTTGATGAATGTTGATATTAGTATTGATAGAATCATATTAGAGAAATTTCTATAAAGATATTAAATGTATCTTTAAAATATCACCAACAGGATTATGAGGAGGATGCTCGAGACAAGCAGAAGTAGAAGGAGGGAGTGTACGTCATCAGGAAGTGATAGTCAGTAACCCCTCGTAAGAGGGAAAATGCTGACTTTAATAAATGGTGATAATGATGATGATGATACTAGAAGATTATATATAAAATCTACCCCGCCTGCTAATAATAACATGCCAGAATGCATTTTTTTTCTCTTGAATTTTGCTGTGGATAAGTTTTGAACAAGAAATATATATTCAAATTCAAATTTACTTATTAAAATCAAACATACAGAATCATTCCAAATGCTAGCAAAATCACCAGCCACCCCCCCCCCCCCCCCATGCACCTCCACATCAAACCTGCCCCCTTACAATCCTTTCAATAATAAAATGGGAAAGAAGGAAGGGCATGGGTATCAATTACCTTGCTGTGTTGTAATAATCTACAGAGCTAGAGCCCTCTGAACCCCTTACTAATGAGCTGGCTGACTATGCTTACGGATAAGCTATTTTGAGCAGTAGTGCGCTAATCAACAATTTCCCCAATTGAAGTAATTACTGCTGGCCGATGGGCACGGCTACTTGTAAGGACCATGCTGACTGAAGGCTGGCTGAAGGCACACCCATGCTCTGATGAGGTGTGGATTAAAAGGTTGTGTAGGTTTGCTGGAGTCCTATTGTAAGTTTTAACATGTTTACTGTTTCGCTTGACATGCTTCTTAGAGAAAAACATTTCATTACATTTTTAACAAGGATAACTTTAAAAAAAAGAAACTTTCAATATATTGAAAGACAGTAAGCATTAATTTAGCTGATGTTAGGCTGATTGTTATCTTTCTGGTAAACAAAAAATGTTATGCTTTCAGTTTCAGATCAGAATTCTAAAAACTACAAGTACCTTTAATTATCTCCCAAGTTTACATAGGCACCCACATTTTTTTTTTTAATTTACAGTTTTTTTGTTTCCCCCTTAAAAATATATTGAGCTCTTTAACTGAATATATTGTAAAGGCATATCCTTTATCCAAGACTAAACATTTTGCTCGCAGCTTCATTCTATATTTATTTCAAGTTTTAATAACCTTTTAAATACTAAGCAGAGATAACTATAGCCAGAGTTTATGAAAAATGTATGTTATCCTCAAATCAAATCATAACCAGTCTTAAATCTAATGTAACTGTAAGAAAAGTACTAGTGATGCCAATTTGAAGAGCAAATACAGAACTACTGAGCTAGTGCCGCAGAACAGTTTTCCATCTCTTGTCAAGTTCAATGAATTTGATACTTAAAAGATATCATCTATGCAGCATCCACAAAGGGTATGACAGCTCCCTGTGGCATGAAAACATACAAACATCAACAATGTTTAAAGAAATACACCCCCGAAATGAAGAAATAACAAATTTGACTGTTCCTTCTGTTTTAGCTAGACATCTCTGTTTACATGAGACTCCAGTCATAGTTACCATTTTCTCCTAGAAAAAAAATTGTAAAAACAAAAAACTTTTCCTTAAGAATTTTGGGAGGAAAGACAAAATGGAAATTTAGATCTCATGTTTCCTCTTGGAACCATGTATGCATCATTGTTGCTATGGTAACGCTGCTTTCACAGCACACCATACATCACTGTCCAATGAAATCTCTATTATTGTTTCTAGCTTATTTTTTTATGTCCTCATGAATAAAAAATAATCATCATATTTAAAAGTAAACTGTGTGTATGTAAGCGATGTGCTTTCATGAGGTAACAGCTCCATGCAACATGGCTACATGAAGTGATATGTCAGAGGAATAGTGCTGTTGTTGGTGCTGATTAGTAATCTCCATTGTAAAATCACGATGTGGATAAAGTTGAAATCAACGTTGGACTACCGAACAAATTAGCCTGCAGTCTAAATGTTGGCTAATTAATATGAATTCAAGTAACTGAATATTTAGATGCTAGTTTCAAGGATTCAAGGCAGTGAGTGTTTGTTTTCATGTGGGGGAGGGGGGAGGAGGGGAGGGGTCGTTCCCTCTGAATATGAATATTTGATCATCCATCTTACCTGACTTGTCCTTTGGTGTTCTTAAGAACCATGGCTGCATACGATTGACTCACACCTACAAGACTCTTTCCATCCACTTCAATGATCTGATCATTCACTTTGATCCTAGAGAGAGAGGGAATAAAGAATAGGAGACAAAAATTATTTAAAATTGCAAATATCAATGCTCAATATCTATGCAATTAATTGATATGGATCTGCGCCTACATGTACCGTAACCTCTAATGCTCTGAAAGCTGATATCTATAATTAACTCAAAAGCATTTTCTTTTCTTTTTTTTTATAAATGTGATACGGTACATGTCGTGATTATTACATAACTGATATTTTTTACATCAAAACAATACCAATTATACCAGTGAGATGATTCTACATCTCCAATTCCCTTGGATGTGATTAGTCTTGTCCCAAACACTAGAGGGAGCACTACTGCATGAGACAGGACCTTGGTCATTGCAGTCTAGCCTAGCTAAGAGCTAGTATTTCATCAAGTTGATATAAGAGGCATGTATTGATTCAACCTAAGGCTACTATGATCACATCTAACCTTGAGATCTCATCATATTGTCAATCACGACAGATCATCTATATCTTCACTATTCCCTACTGACTTCTTGTCTTGGTCTCAAACATCTTCCTGATTGTCATGTCTGGTGAGATTTCAAACCAAAGTAAAACAAATTCTTACGAGAAATACAATAAAAACAATGTTGATCATTCAAATACAGACAATTAACCTCCAAAAAGTCATCAATTTGTAATCCCCTGTATGAAAGATTAGATATGGTCATGAAATTGAGACATGTACAAAATGTATTGTTGTCTGCTGAGAAACAGAGGGTGTTTGTTAACTTCTACATAGATTCGTCCTTGTTTTCACGAAGTGACAGTAGAGAGGAAAATCGTAACGCAAGTGAATGCTATTTTTTTCACTACCGTCACTTCGTGAAAACAGTGACGGATTTACCTTCTGAATCTTAACACATGATAGGCCTGTTAGCCTGGTCATGTGACATACCCTTCACTTGCTTGAAAACAGATTTTTTTAAACTCAATAATGTCCAGCTTTTCAGGACAGGGGATAACTTGCCAAATAAAGTCAGAGAAATGAAACAAAAATATTCGGTATTGACAAGACTATATATGAAGTACCAAATCATTGTTCCGAAAACTTGTGTGAAAAGAAAATACAAAAGGCAGCAATGAAATGGAAATCGATAGAACAATGTCAATAAACTCCAGGCCCTAGGGTGTACAATGAAATTATATATGTGCTAGAAGCATCTGTAGAATTCTTGTAGTTGAATCACCACTTCATCAAATGAAACATACCCATCTCTTCCGATCGCTCCAAGAACAATTACAACGGTTCAACTTCAATTAAGTGTGTCTGGTGTAGTCATATCAAGGGAATAACAAGGAGCAATACTCTCGTTTAAAACATATAAAAAATGGGAAATGGTATGAGATTACATAGAAGGCATAGGTATAGCTATAGGTATTGCTATAGGCTTTGTAAGTCATTACAAATTGCGGCAGATCAGTAAAGCGCTTAGAGACATCGTAGATGTATTAAGCGCTATATAAAAGCGGAATATTATTATTATTATTATTATTATCAGGATGGGGGGGGGGTGGCATGAGAACATCCCTTCTGGCACCAACTTGGGATTATCTTTTGGGGGAGAGAGGGGGGGAGAAGCTTGTCAGAAAAAAATTGTGAACTTTTTTTCTTCTTCCTGTAATTAGCAGGGGTCTCACTTAACATATTATTTTGGTTGCCAGCTTGGCAACTTATAACAGTTAGTTTCTAAAGTTGCCCCCCCCCTCAAAAAAAAAAAAAATAATAATAATGATAAAAATAAAATAAAGTAGGCTTGAGTCGGTACGGTCGATCACACCGGGACCCGACCGTTGCCGTCGGGTCCCGGTTTCGTTTTTTGAGAACCGACGCTCCGAAAAAAATAATGAAATATGTAAGAAATTGCAGTTTTGCACACCACTAAAATCAATCCACCTTGAAACTTAAGTATTTAATTGTTACCAATCATATTCTAGCTCATCCTGAATCAATCCGAACTGCTGATATAAATATGGGTTGCAAAGCAGTTCGCCCCATGGGGTTGTTGTCGCCAGCTGCTAGCTACATGTAGCTACTGTACTGGCTGGGTCTCTCGACAGAATTAATAAATCAGGTTGAAAGAAAAATTAATGTTTGAATAATAAAACGATTTTCTAAAAAGTACTTCTTAACAACATACCGATCAAATAATTTTTAAAAGACAAAATAGATATTTTTTCTTTGATTTTGAACACCGCATGCTTCTTTTAAAAGCTGAAAATTACTTGGTAATCACAAGAAGTTTCGATACGGATAGCTGTTGCAAGGCAAGTTCAGACTAGTCTCGGAAAAATGCGCTGTGCTCCTCGTTAGCTGTAATGCGTGCCAGAACGAACCCAAACGAAGACGTGATCGTAACGAGAAAAAAATCATTAAAAACTACGAGAGCACAATTGGAAAGACAACTACTCAAAATTATCGTAAGCAGATACATAACTTGGAGGAAGAATACAATAATTGTCCAAGAAAAGCCACACAAATAGTGTATTTAAGGAGTTACTATAGGTACAATCATTATCGGAAGGGCCTGCTGCGATATATCCGAATTATACACGTGTTTGAATTGAACACGAGGCAAATACCGCCCTCTACGGTAAAAAGCAGTATAACACAGGATTCGAGTATTTGCAGCAGGCACCTTGCGATAAAAATGTACCCAGTTACTCCTTGATTATAACAATTTCTGTGGCATTTATTGGGCGATTATTGAATTCTTTGTCCAAGTTATGTATCTGATTATGGTAATTTTGAGCAGTAGTTGTCTTTCCAATTGTGCTCTCGTAGTTTTTAATGATTTTTTTCTCGTTACGATCACGTCTTTGTTTGGGTTCGTTCTAGCACGCATTACAGCTAACGAGGAGCACTGCGCATTTTTCCGAGACTAGTCTGAACTTGCCTTGCAACAGCTATTCGTATCGAAACTTCTTGTGATTACCAAGTAATTTTCAGCTTTTAAAAAAAAGCATGCGATGTTTAAAATAAGAGATAAATATTTATTTTTGTCTTTAAAATATTATATGATCGGTATATTGTACAGAAGAATTTTTTAGAAAGCCGTTTTATTATTCTAACATTAATATTTTTTGACCAGATTTATTCAACCTGCATAAATCAAAATGGCGGCTCGAATGTTGTCTTTCTATTTCTGCCCCAGTTTTTTTACTTTTAGAGGCACGATAATGGCACTAAACATCGCCAATCATGGATGAAAATAATGTCAAATGGAAGAATATACCGATCTGAGCCGAGGTATGCATGTGTTGATATATTTGATTGATAAAAAAGGTCACTTTTAAGGGACATACTGATGATATGCGCTTTTTATAGAGGCAAGTGACAAATCCTGGGAGCTGATTTCGGGACACCGGGTCCCGATCGGTGCAAGGCCGTCGGGACCCGGTTTATGAAAATCCCGACATGACTCAGGCCTAAAATAAAGACACTTTTAGCAATCATTTACAGTGAACTACACAAAAGTCATAATGAAATGATAATGAAAGTGAGTTTTATGTAAAGCCACCAAGGCAGGAAATGGAGTACTTTGAGGTTGTCCAGTAGGATTTTTCGTTGGCAGAAGGACCCGGGGAAACATCTAATTTCGAGCCTTGCGTCTAAGATGTCAAAAATCAATTACGCTTCACACACAAGTTGACACGTAAAAGATGCCACAATACTTTAGGGCTTGAAGTAGGAATAACAAAACAAAACAATTTTTAATTTTTTTTGTATATGTTTGATTTAGAAAAGACAGAAAATCAATACTTCAGAGCTATAGAACTTTTCAGACCGGAAGGGGAAAGGATACTTTATCAATCATGTCACATGACTCTGTCTAACTCTAAATCAAAAGCTAAAATAAAATTCATCCATTTGTATTTTTAGGTACACCACGTATGAAGTTCAACACAAAACGAGGCAACATTTCTAGTGGAATGGCTGCAGGTACGGAAACGATAAGAATATTAAGTTATAATACTAATATAATTAAATTGGAACATAATATAGCTTTCTCATATTAAATGTCTGTAACTTGGACTGTCCATGCTCAATTTAGCACTAGAACAGAGCCGCTTAAAGCAGAAACTTGGATATTAGCACGTAAGCATGCTATTCTAATGTTCCTTATACCCTTAAAAATTGTAACCTTTTTGTTTTAATTCTAGTTCACCTGGTAATATTAGATGTTTTTGTACTTTTGGAATGATACATTTCAATTTGAGTTGCATCATTCCATTACATTCCACACTGATTGAAAACATACCATCCATTACATGTAGCAGTACATGTCAAGAACCTCTACCTTAAGAAAGAATAAAGTTTAACTAATCTTTTGAAACATTTCAGATCTACATGAGGGGTAAACGAGGTGGTATAGAGAATTGGGGCTATCTTTTCTAATATCATAACTTATCCTGGTTAATTATTCCAACTGATTTTCATTAAATAATCATTTCTGTTGCTTCCGTTTGGGAAGATGGATTTTCCCTGATTTTATTAAGTAGACATCCAAGGAAGCTTCAAAAATTTGTTGCAAAATGACAGCATATTTTCTTCTTCGTAACAAACCCTTTATATATTTACATCAATCACCAATGAACTATCTACTGTCTAATGCTATTTATTTGGAAAAAATTAGGCCAACCAATCCATGTGGAGATACCCATTTCAAGTCACTTTAGGAAACGATATTCATTTTCAAAATCCTGCCTTTTAGCATTTAAAAGCAATGTAATTCAAGAATGTAATTTGTAGATAGCAAGGGACAAGTATAAAAAAAAAAAAACCTGAATGGTCATATATAGTTACATACTTCATATGAATGGAGGGGGGGGGGGATTTATAGAAATCATGTAGTACTCTCCGCATTCTCTATCTCCACTCACAACACACATGAAGGTTGTTGAAGGTCATTATTCCATCATGTTCTCTGGAGAATGCAGTCCATTTACAATGCACCCTAAGGCCAACTCATATAAACCCCACG